GTGGAGAAGTGGGCTGTAGTCCACGAAAGCTTATGCTCTAATAAATTTGTTAGTCTCTAAGGTGCCACAAGTATTGTTGTAGCCATGTTGGTCCCAGGATATTAGAGACACAAGGTGGTGAGATAATATCTTTTATTGGGCCAAGTTCTGTTGGTGAGAGAGATAAGCTTTTGAGCTGACACAGAGCTCTTCTTCAGATCTGGGAAATGACACTGAATACATTTCCCAGACCTGAAGAAGAGCTCTGTGGAAGCTTGAAAGTTTGTCTCTCTCACCAACAGAAGTCGGTCCCAGAAAAGATTTTACCCACCTTGTCTCTCTGAGTGAAAGATTAACATCTTTAATCAGACTTCAGCTTATTTGATCATCACACTGAATTCTCCACCTCCTTCTGCTCAGACAGTTATACCAACAGCAGCTGGGTGATGCTTCTGGTCCCATTTCCACGTGGCAGTCAAGTCATTGGGACAGCAAATCTGGCCTGTGTGATCCATGGAGTGTCCAGCCCAGTCCATGTTTCCTGGAGTGTTCCTGGGAAGCTGCAGGAACAGGGGCTGACGCGCTCATTGAAAGCAAGGGATGGATCTTTAACGCTCATAAATCACATCAGCGTCCCCATGGACACCTGGACCAGTGGGAAGAATTTCACCTGTGACGTCAAATTCAACTCTTCTGGCACCAGTGTGAAGAAAAGTACCAGGTATCCTGCAGGTGAGTGATATGATATTTGAGATTAATGGAGACTCAGATGTGAAATAGGGGTGAAGTGGCCACAATCACAGCTGCTTTAACATAACTTACCATCACAGAAAGCTGGAATATTCTATGTCTTAGTTAAAATTTCTTTAGAGAATTTTGGGAAAAGTCACGTGAGACATACAGGGATCGCAAGACAATGTAGCTCTGATCTCTGCTGCAGCTTTCACCCAGATTGTACATAGAAAGCACTGTAAAGAATTAAATAATAATAAATACCAGGAGTAAAGGGGAACTGAGAGGCATTTGAGATGAGAGATGTTTTCCAGTGAGATACACAAAGTGATGGAGAGACAATGAGATGAGGAGAGACCTACAGGGAGGATTTGTAGATGGCAGAAGGTGCAGAGAAGATTCTGATTACAGGGGAAAGAATTCACCTAAGGGAAAGGGGGCAACACAGAAGGTGAAAGGTGCTGAAGGCTCCTGTAGCCTCGCTCCTCAGGGGTTAAGGCCCGTGGTGAAATGGGGATCAGGAGGGAAGAGCTGGGTGTGGTGGCATCACGACCCTCTTGGCTCTAGTCAGCCACTTGTGTCTGTTTTTTAGCTTCCTCCACTGCCTTTGCTAGCAAGTGCTCACATTACATCATGCCCCTTGCGGCTGGTGCTGGTCTGCTGCTGCTGCTGGTGTCTCTGAGCCTCGTCTGGACCCTCTGCCCTTCTACTCTAGGTAAGAAACACAGCCCAGCCCAGACACTCTCCCGCAGAGAGAAATCCCTACTCCCCTGCTTGTAACTGTCCCGTCCAACACATGAACATGCAGCAACTGTCACAACTACCAGCACTGATTGCAGAATGTTTGTTTTCTGAAACTTGAATTTCCTGTGTCGGGAGAACGGCTTTGTTCTCCGTGACAAAGGGAGCGATGTAGAAAGGCTTCTACTGCCCATGGCCCAGGGATCTTGTCTATAGTTCACAAAGAGCAGTAGCCTTTCTCCATGTGCCATGCATTGTGGTGCCCTGCGCACCCACAGCTCGGATGCACCATTAGTCAATGAACTACAGCTGAGGGAGTGACCATGGAAGAGGAACTTTTACTGTTGTCTTTGTTCCAGGACTCAAGCCCAGGATCTCAGCACCCCCAGCTTCAGAGGAGCACCAGGTACGACTCTTTGCAAACTATCTCTGTCTAAATTAATGTGTCTGTCTCAGGCATTTCTAATCCATATATCAACTTCAGATATTTAGTAATTAAACTGATTGTTTTGAAAGGACAAGGTGAAAGTGAGATCTAGCTGTTGGAGTAGCTGAAAGGGAGCAAAGAGCCTTACTGCTAACTCTGGTACCAATTTACTGTGGGATAGTGGGCAAGTCACTTACTGCTCTGTGACTCTGTTTCCCCATGTGTTAAAAATGGATAACTAGACTTACTGCTCAAGGATGATGGGAAGTTTGATGTTTTATTGGTTCTGACTGTGCCCTTTACAGGGTTTTTGTGTGGCACTGAGAACATTTTTGACACTTAAAAGATAAAGAGCTATAACAAATTATATGTGTAAAGCACATGAAGGTTTCCCTTGGCCCTAATCCAAAGCTCAGTGACCTCAGTAGGAGACTGTCCATTTATATGGGGTTTGGATCTGGTCAAATATTGTCAGTAGCTGATTCTTAAAGTCAGAATCCAGCGCTGGTTTCCATTCTGATAACACGCACCATTTACAATATAAGTAGAAGAATCAGAGATGAGAGGGGATTTTTCATCAGGCTAAACTCACTTGGAGGTTCAGTTCTGTCTCAGCTAGTCCCTACATTTTACAAGGAGATGGCTAATTTTACTAACTGTCACCAAACAGGGTGGGATCTTATACGCTCATCTGGATTTTGATTCGCGGAATCGCAACGGGCGCACGATGCAGCGATCGGCCAGAGGGAAACATCTAAACCCTGAACCGTCTAGTGCAGGGGAATCCACACGTGGGAACTGATAGTTGGTTCTCTGCTGATCGGACGTAGCAGCTGGAAGAAGGCTCTGTCTGTCTCCGTCTCCTTTCTTTTTTATTTTCTCCACTTCTCTGTTTAGAATAAAAAGCTCAGAAGATCCCCACTGAGTCCAGCCTCATCAGGTGGGAAATCTCCTTTTGGGATATAAAGGCATCACGGTATAGATGACTTTACACGTCACTTGTGTATTCGATTGGAAGCTCTTTGGGGCAAGGACTGTCTCTTTGTTCTCTGTTTGTGCAGCGCCTAGCAAAATGGGTGCTATGGTAACTCAATAATTGTCATCATCATGCTCTCATCTGCAGAGGGACCCGGACACAGCTGAACGCCTGCAGCTTCCCTGCACAGAGAGGCCGGATGGCAGAAGCCTGCAGAGGGGCCGTGCAGCCCCTGTATATGTCACAGCTCCCAGCTCCCCTGATCCTCAGCAGGCTCGTGCTCCCTTTGCAGTAACGTTACATGGACGTGCAATGGGATTGTGAAGGGGCAGGATGGATGCGGGAGGAGCTGGGAGGGATGAGAATCTCTCCTCAGGCCAGTGCGGGAGCTGCTACTCCAGTGCTTCCTCTGGAGCAGTGTTTCTCGACCACCAGTCCGTGGACCAGCGTCGGTCCCTGAGATCTCCCTGACACAGTTTAGGAAGGCAGCAAGCCGGTCCCTGATATTCAGAAGGTTAAGAAACGCTGCTCTAGAGTCTGCTGCTTTCCCCCATGGGCAAGATCCATAGGGCCCCATGTGCCAGCCCCTCTGCACCATCTAACAATAACAACACGTTATCAATGACTGGAGCTCGCCTGGTGCCTGCATGCGCTGCCTGTTTACATCACAACTTGTTGTGGTTCAAGCTGTCATTCGAACTGTCACTCATTAAAAAGACCCAGTATTGATGTTTGTGTGTCTTGCCCCTTTTATCTGTTCAATGCATCAAGCTCGGCTTATTGTGTAATAAATAAGGTGACGTCTGAAATTCTTTGGGTCAGATTCTGCTCTGGTTTCCAGCAGTGTAAATCTGGAGGAGCTCTGTTGCAGTCAGTGGAGTTACTCTGGATTTACTCTGGAGTCTCTGAGAGCAGAAGCCGGCCCTGTCTATCCCACTTAGCGTCTGTGCTTCTCGTGATGGATGATACAACAAATGTGTTACACAGAACTCGTTACACACACACACCATCAACTATGGCAAGGGCTGTCCACTAAAGTCTGGAGAAGAAGTAATGGGCTTAATCTGCAGCAAGGGAGATTTAGGTGAGATGTTCGGAAAAACTTTGTAACTCTAAGGAGAGTTCGGCTCTGGAACAGGTGTTGAAGGGCGTTTTGTGGAATCCCCGTCCCTGGAGGTTTTTAAGAAGAAGTTAGACAAACATGTGTCAAAGATGGTCCAGGTTTACTTGTCCAGATCCCTGTGCTGAGGCAGGACCTGGATGACTTTTCAAGGTTCCTTCCAGTCTGACATTTCCATGATTCTCTGAGCGCCAATAAAAAATGAATGACTAAGGGCCTGAATCTGATCTCCTGTTACCCTGAGAACTGAACCCAGCGGGGCTGCAGGAGGGCCCTGATTTCCATTGTGACTTCAAACTGAGGTCTTGAATGAATGGTGACTTGCAGTCACTGAGGAAGCTTTCAGCAAGACGAGAACAGCGGGCTCCGGTTCCTTGGTCAACTTCCCGTGTGGGTAATTACAAGAGCTGATCAGGAGTCTTTAGAAAAAAAAAGAAAAGAAAAAAAGAAGGAAGATTTCTGTGTCAGAAAATGCCCATTTGTTGAAACAAAGATTTGTTTTCCATCGGAAAAGGGTCGGTTTTGATGAATTTGTTTACTTGATAAAAAAGTTTCAGAATTTCAAAATGGAACTTTCTGGTTGTCCAGTTCAAAAAGGCGTCTTACTTAAAAATATACACTAATTATAGTAGATCCTTTTTAAAAAAATATTTCATGGTCAAAAAATTTTATGTTCAAAATTGGAAAGAAAAATTTCAAAATTCTTAAAACAAAATGCTGCATTTCACACAAACCGAAAATGATTTTTGATTGAAGAAATCTGTTGAGATTTTGACTTTTTGTACCAGTTCAACACAGGAAAATGTTTCAGTATTTTGAAAATTTGTGTGGGATGGAAAATCCATTTTCTGCCCAGCCCTGGTAATTACATGAGTGTAAAATTGCTCCTGTAGCTGCACTTGGCTACATTGCTCCTTTTCACTTCCTGCCCTAAGGCACTGCGCCGTGCTGCTGTGGGGCTGTCAGACAGCTGCCCCGCTCCACCCCCACCGTGCATGAAGACATTTCTATACTCAGCAAAAGGGCCCAATCCTGCCTGGTGCTGAGGCACTTCCTGTGACGTGCTGGGCAACCGCAACGCTGATTAAAGTCCAGGGGAGTGGTGGGTGCTCAGCGGCTGTTAGGATCAGCTCCTACCTTCCGTTCCTTAAAGCACTGCACATTGTAACGCAGTTTTGCTGGGATCCTTAGAGCAGTAAATAGGGCTTTGTGCCTTTGTCAATCAGTGTTACTGGGAGGTTTCTAACAGCCCCTTACAGGAACTGGGCTGGGCAGACATTGTGCTCGAATAGCGTTATGATTTCTGTGGTCTTATCTGTACAACCACTGACAACATTCAGCCCCTTAACAGCGAGCCTGGGGACCTGATTCTCATTAGCATTAAGTCCCTTTCCACCATGGTAACGCACCGGGGCCTGGAAGTGACTGTGAGTTTAATTTATGGTCCTCTAAAGTCCTCTTTACATTGCTGCAAAGGGGAAGCTGTGTCATTGTGAGTAATGCCCTTGGGCTAGAAATCAGACAGAATCGTGGCCAGTCCAGTCATCCTTCATCAGCCAAACTCCTGCTTCCACTTAACATTGCCTCAGTCAGGGACTGCAGGATTTAGCCCAGGTGGCTTCCCAAGCATGGGAGG